GGAGTAGTGGCAGGGATCAAGAGAGCATGAAGTTTGCTGGTGACAGCAGCAAGGTGTGCAGCAAAGGAGACAAGTAGGCTGCAACCCCCACCTGAGCAACATCGACAATGAGGCCGGGGTTTCATTTCTCTACTGCGGAGAAACCCAGACAACACCTTCCTCCATCGGGGTTGCTCGAAAGGCACAGACAAGCCAGGATTCTACTCCAAATAATGATAAACACTGTAGAAGTGACGGGCTCCTAGGACAGGCCTCCACCATACACACCAGAATGCCTCACCCCGGGAAGAGCGGCTCCAGTAGCCCATCACTGTCCTTGCCCTAGGGTAAGCCCCAGTCTGGGCTACTGTTTAGTCTTGGAGTTTAGCCAGTTAGCTCTGTTCACTGTGAATGAATGTTGAGGAAATTTGGGTAGGGAGAGACTTGATCATTGACAGCAGGCATAGCAGGAGGCAACAGGGCTGAGCTTGAGCCCTGTGCAAGCTTGAGTTCTGTCCCAAGCCCTCTCAAGGTGGCCTGGAACCAAGTGACAAGCCAAGAGCAGTCCCCAACAAAGCTGCCCATGAGTCGGTGCCATGGCCATGCCCTCCTGCTCAACAATGCCAATTGTTTTATAAGATGTAAAAGTTCTTTTGGCAGTGGACACAACACAAAGACTCTGAAATAGATGAAAGGCAGAGCTTTTTGTTACTCACAGTTCCAAAGGAGAGCAGGCTGCCAGGCAGGGCCATGCAGGGGTGTACCCAGGGGTGGTTGTACCAGCACAATGGAGGTTTCAGGGCAGCTTGTGTATGGCAAGTAGGGTGGGCTTAGCTAGGTTTCATGGGGTCCCTGGGAATTGATTTATTTACACAAAATTGCAGTCTCAGGAGGATAGGAGCTGTCCCTAGTTGTCTAATACTTGACCCCAGGCAATTAGGACTGGTGCATAGTGGTCTGGAGAGACTGCCATAGTGGGAGCCTCCAAAGGGAAGTGGTTGAAATGTAGGCTTAACTGCTCAAGAAAGTCAACTAACTGGCCTCTAATCAGGGCCTTAAAACCGAGTCAAGACAGTATTTTTTTTTTTTAATTACATTACAACTGGTACAGGTGGCAGGGGCCTCTTCTAGGCCCAGGGAAGCAGCACCTCAGGCTGCCCACCCCTGCACACCAGAGGAGGAGCCCAGGTCTAGGCCAGTCACCAGTCATTGTAATGAGAGTCCCTGTGCCAGTTTTTAGCTCGGGCTTGGGCATGCGACACAGCCCTAGGCAGTGACAGAGTTGATTCATTCTATTTCCATTCGCACATTTATTCCGCTTGCTTCAAGCACCTACTGTTTACAAGGCACTATGCAATTCGCAGGGATAGAACAAAGTCCCTTCCTCATGGAGCTTTTGCCTAGGGAGAAAGCTGCTGCAATGGGCCAGGGTATTTTAATCACCTTCCACTCACCCTGTTGGTGAGGGAGGGATTCTCATCCCAGAGATAGGGGGATGGCCCCGTACACAACAGTGACGTGCCAGACAGACAAGATGGACAAGAGTTTATGGGTCACATATGTTCACAGCTTGGGAAAGGAGGATGCAGGGGGCTACACCTGGGAACAGAGGGAACCAGCAGGTGTTAGGAGAGGCAGACTTTGCAGTATTAAGAGGATGGGGTGACCCTAGTTCCCATGTGATGATGTGATTGGCTTGTTTGAATAATTCTGTGGGCAGGCAGGGAATGGAAATGCAGGGACAAGCAGGAACCGTGCCTGGTCCCCTTGAGAAGGAGGGTGGAGGTGTGCATAGGGGACCTTGCAGTTAGCCCATTCAAGGCCCTCCTGGTTTCACCAGATGTCAAAGCAGCACCTAATATCATTGATATTAGTTTTAAGCCTTATGCCCCAGAGGACTGCTTCTGGGATGTGGCTTTTTTATGTCCTTGAAGCTTATAGTGTAAAGATATGCTTGGAGCTGCAGCAGCCTCTGTGAGAAGATGAGTGAAAAACCATAGAAATGACAGAGAGGCTGACTTGGGCCCTGAACAGGGTTGAGCTACTGAATTACTCAGTCCTGGAGGTGCTCTGCCTCCAGCGTTTCCATTAAATGGAATGTGGCACTCAGTTCCTCTCTGGGTTGGGATTCTGTTCCTTCCACTCAGAAGTAGCCTGGTCCTGTGCTCATACTGCATAATCCTGTGTGTATCAGTGGCCCTAGCTTCACAGTGCAAAGGAGCACAGAACAGATGTGGGTTCCTTCTGTGTCCGTGCATGTCTCTGTGCAGGTGTGATGATGTCTGGTGTGCATTCTTTTTGTTTTGTTTTGTTTTTTCTTTTTAGAGACAGGGTCCCGCTCTACTGCCCAGGCTGGAATGCAGTGGCACAATCATGGCTGACTGCAGTCTCAAACTCCTGAGTCCAAGCGATCTTTCCATCTCAGCCTTCCAAGTAGGTAGGACAATGGGTACACACCACTATGCCTGGATAATTCTATTTTTAGTTTTTTGCAGAGACAGGATCTCACTATGTTGCCAAAGCTGGTTTTGAACTCCTGACCTCAAGTGATCTCTCACCTTGGCCTCATCCTCCCAAAGTGCCAGATGACAGACATGAGCCACTGCGCCTGGCCTGATGTGCATTTTACACAAAAAATACGACAAGCCCCAATGTCTCATTGGAGGGTACTGGGAGGAGGAGTCCACCAGGGGGCTGGCCAGTCCTGGAGAACCAGAGTGTTGGCCTCTTAGGAGGGATGTCATGGGCCACTCTAGTAGCAGGAGAGGTCAGAGTCAGTGACCCACACTTGGCCAGATCAAAGGAAGCTTTAGAACAGGGGAGTGTCTCCTCTGTTGTCACTGATGACCTGAAGACCCAGGAAGAGTCTAAGTGCTGATGACCAAGAGGCCAAGGTGCTGGTACCAGTGACCTGGGCCACCATGAGCCACTGCACCTGGAGATAGGGGAGTTCCTACAACGGATGGCAGCCTTTCCCATGGCCAATGATAACTCTCCTGTGGGCTGGTTGGAGCTTGGGGGCTCTTCTTTACAGCCCATAACCTACATGCAAGGTCTTTTGTGTGAGGAGATCTTTGCCAGGTTTGTGGTTGGTGGTTGGAGCCATCTGATGGCCACTTCTGTCCTCCAAGCCCCACCTGCCCTTCTGAGGATTAGGGGATAGATGTGGCCATTTATTGAGCATATATTAAGTGTCAAAGGCGTTTTACTTACGATCTCTAAATCTTACAACCATCCTTATAATCAAAGAAAGTGATGCTCAGAGAGACTTAGTAACTTTCAGAAGCCCACGGAGCAAGGAAATGGTGGAGCCTGATTTGAGCCCAGATTCGTTCTGGAATGCAGAGTCTCCACTTTCCTCTGGCCACCATTCTGGGTATCCAATGCTTTGAGGAGTTGCCTTGGTGGCAGATTGAGCTGTTACCTCCTTCCTAAGCCTCAGTCCCCTCATCTGTAAATTGGGGTCACAAGAGTTCAGAAGGAGGCATCTGGTGCCCGGCACAGAGCAGCTCTTGACCACAGATGCCAGCCTCTCTGGATGATCCATCTCCTGGTCAGACTTTCTGTTTAAAAATCCACCTCCATAGACTGGCGGCAAATGAGAGGATGGAGCTCATGATAGCGGCAGGGAATCAAGCCCGAGGTCTTAGAGAAAGTGACAGATGACCCCATAGTTTCATCTCTTCCATCCCAGAGCCCAGGGTGCAGAAGGCCTCTCCCCCTCATAGCTCCCAAGTGCTGGAGCGGGAGGCACACAGGCAGCAGCGTGTGTGGGCTGGGCTGCCGATGGGCTGCAGGCTTTATGACCTGATGAGAGACCCTGGAATGTAATCTGGGCTTTCATCACTCTGCAGCCAGAGCAGGGCAGGCCACTAGACCTCTAGACCTCTAGAGACCTGTAGACTTCTGTCTGCAGCAGACTGCCAGGCTCAGAGCCCAGGGAGCCCAAGGCAGGACTGATGGGCTGGGGACTGGGGAGGGGTGAGGCCCTGGCTCCTGCAGCTCAGCAGGCTCCAACAGCACTAGATGGGAAGCCTGTTCTAATGGCCTCCTGGAGGTAGAGGAAATGCTGTTTAGGGGCAGGAACAACAGAGGCCTAAGGAATGGGCCCGTGATGAGTCCTGTGAAGCCTGCTGGCTGTTAGGTCACATGCATGAGCTCTAGTCCCCCTCTACCACCTGAAAGCTGTCACACGTTATTTCCCGCCCTAAAGCCCAGGCTGCTCACATGGGGAGCAGGCATCCTGGTGGTACCTCCCCATGGGGTTGTTGAGAGGTTAAAAGCCTCTTTCCTATTCTGAGCCCATCCTATATAAGTGGCTAATAAAGGACAGCCTCAGCATTCGTTAACCCCCGGAAGGGCCTACCGTCTCTCCTCTCTCTGCATAAACTGCTCCAGTTGCATTCCCACCCAGTCTCCAGACTTCTAGCCTCCAGAACTGGGAGAAATTAATGTCTGTTGTTTAAACCACCCAACCCCTGGTATTTGGTTATGGCAGCCTGAGCTGACTAAGACGCAAGGAGAGAGCCCACATCCTCTGATCTCCTTTGTGAGGTGGTGACAACAATGCTAAGAGCTACCATGTTTTTGTGCAGCAGTCACTGGGCGAAGTCTTGATTAAGATGAGCTCACATCAGCTCTACCAGGGAAGCAATGCTGGCATGCCCACTGTAAGGAAAAGGAAACAGAGACACAGAGAGATGAAATACAACTTGCCCAGAATCACATAACTTGCCCAGAATCACAACGGTTAGAAAATGGCAGAGTTGGGATTTGCACTTTTGGGCTCCAAAAGTGCAAATCTTTTTTTTTTTTTTTTTATGGTGAGGTAGGGGAGGGTCTCACTCTGTTGCCCAGGCTGGAGGGCAGTGGTGATCATGACTCAGTACACCCTTAACCTCCCTGGGCTCCGGTTATTCTCCCATCTCAGCCTCCAGAGTAGCTGGGACTACAGGCACGTGTGACCGTGCCTGGATAATTTCTTCGTATTTTTTGTAGAGATAAGGTTTTGCTATGTTGCCAAATCTGGCCTTGAACTCCGAGCACAAGTGATCTTCCTGCTTCTGCCCCACAAAGTGCTGGGATTACAGGTGTGAGTGATAGTGTCCAGCCCAGAGTCCAGGGACTTAACTGCAGTGTTCTACTTTGCCCCAAACCAGCTCAGTTGCCTCTGGGTCTCAGTAATTCAAGTTTTACAATTATTATTTATATACTCACAGTCTGTGAAATTTATACAACACAAAATTATGTGAACACACTGCCAGTTCCCCTCGCCAGGCCAGCGAGGGACCCGGCCAGCGAGGGCCCAGCTGCCGAGACTGCACAGCTCCACAGCAAACCCTCCCCTGCCTCGGGGAGGCCATCAAACCTTACAAGGAATTGAAGAGTAGATTTATTAAATAATAGGATACATGATGGATTAGAAAATTATTGACTAGATAATGCAAATTTAGAGCCATATATAAAAATTGTGGCCCCGTAGGGATAAGTAGGCCTTATCTTGACTGGACTTTCCCTGTGTTACTCATGCTTATTCTTTTTATTATTTTATTCTACTTTTCCCACAGTGCTCTGTGCTTTGGGGTCATTCTGATTCCCTCTGACCGGTCCCCAAAAGGAAGCCTCCTTCACGGCACCTTTTGTTGTCCTTGAAGAAAGTTTTTGGTACAGGTAAGGTTAACCAGAGGTTACTCTGCCTTATAGAGTTAATATGTTGCTCATGAAACTCACAAATTCAAAAACCCAGTTTTTGCCTCAGCATTTAATTTCAGCCAACAAATTTTAAAATCATATATATGTATATTTATACACACACAGATTTTAAATCTTATATCTTTTACATTTTTAGCAATCATTTTAACGGCAACTTTATTTCTTAAGAATTTCTTAAGAATTAAATTCCCTTATGCCTTTAAAATTGTATTTATACATGTAATAGTTTTTATTTTTCTTTTACGTGTTCCAATCATTTGACTTATTAAAAATCTTCCTGAATATTTAAATAATTCTTACGAATCTAATACATGAAATCTAGAAATATGATGTGTTTTAAGTTCTTTCAGGCCTTCTAATACTGTTTATATATTTAGGACATTTTAATTGAAAATCATAAATCTTAGCTGATGACATATTTTAAACTAGAATAAAAAAGGTGAATTTTTACTCCATTAGGGCCAATTTCTTTTTTTTTTTTTTTTGAAGGAATAAGTAACAATTTTATAAATGAAAGATGAATATGAGATTTGTTCAAAATAATTATCTTTCTAGCCAGTCTTTTTGTTTGAACCCTTCTTGAAAATTCTGGCTAGTAAAGAATGTGACAAAATTACATGTGTGTCTTTATGGCTTAAAACAAAGCATACTTGAAAAGTGGAATGGGCTTCCTTTTTTACAGAGTTTTTTTTTTTTTGTTCATATGCAGGCACTTCAAAAGACTATGGAGGCAAAGCACCTGACCCATCCTTTCCAAAATATTTTTTAATCATCAGAATTACACTAAAGAGTAGGAAAATTCCAGAGAATCAGCAAAGTTGAATACAAGAGACTAATGTACACAGAGGGCATAGAGTGACCCACTTTTTATTGCTGGGTGTCTTTTTTTTTTAATCAAAGAGCAAAGTAATCACACAGACACCATTGCATGGCACATCCATAGTTTTCTGCTTAAGGGAGAATGTACTCATTCAGCAGTAGGTTTCAGTGAGATTTCTTTAGGCTTCCACCTTACACATTGCAACAAGATTCACAATCACTACTTCTCCTTAGTGTATTTCTTTATAACTCCAACATATGTCATTTCTCAAAGTATTCATTTCTTGCTGTCTAACATACATTCTTATTTGGAAGCATAAAGTTATATTACACGAATATTTTGCATTTTTAAAAATAAGCACTTTTGCCACTTCTGCAACACAGTGCTTCACATAGTGGTGCAATAAAAGCAGAGCACATATTTACCACACTACTTAAGATTCATTTTACCACTACCATCTGCCAAACCCATATTGCTTTTTCCTCCATACCTCTGGGCAGTGACTGTACCATGATTTCACAGAGAGAATGTTAGTATGACTTACGAATAACAGTACCATCAGTAATACTGAAATCAATGAAGATGACCCAAAATATGAACTTCTCAAGGAGTAACTTCTTTTAAATATTTGGGCAACTCTGTTTTCTCTGTTGTATTGTCCACTGAGAAAAAAAAATCCTGTTCGATTATGCTCTTACAGAAGTTATAAAAAACCAGATTAGGTATATAACTGGTTGACACTTAAGATACTGTACTGCTTTCTACAACAGAAGAACTTCCGAAAAATGTTCTATAGAACTATATTCATCAATACCACCTCGTTGGTCCATTCCATTCATTGATGGGCAAAGCACTCATGTTTTGACAAAACTTTAAAGCTTCCATAAAAGTTAAATTAGAAAAAAAAAATGAAAATGAGCCAACCACAGAATGAAGTATGAAAGTATGACATTTTTGTTTCTAAAAGTGAGTCCTTGAAAATATATTTGGTCACTATGCTGCAGGATAATTAAGGAATCAGAGAGACCAAGGGGTTGAGGAGGAATTATTTAATTATTTAGGTGCACTGACCCAGTAGGATTAACGTCCAAAGGACTGAGCCCTGAACAAAGAGTCAAGCTACCTTTTAAGCATTTCGTGGGGTTGGGGGAGATCTGTGCAGGGGGAGGCACATTACAAAAGTGAGAAACAAAGCCAGTTATTCAATTAAGACATGCATTACATTATTTCTTACTTTTCAAGGAACAACATGTTTTACAACTGGAGATGATCTGTCTGGTGACCTTGCAGCTGCACAGCTAGAGAAACAGGGTCTTCACAATGCCTGGGAAAGGGAGAGATAAGGCTCACTAGCCACAGAAGGAAAAACAGGCAGTTTATTTTAAAGGACTCCAGCTCTTTCTCTTCCTCAAGGGGAACTGGGTTTTCCTACATACAACTGAGTTTTTTGCTTACACATTCTTTGATTTCTTTTAATTCCTGTTCCACCTACAGAGATGATTTTAATTACAAGACAGCAGATGAACATGTAAGTAACTCCCCAGGATCTGTCTGTGTCCAGAATCATTTGTGGCGCTGTATGGTTTTCCTTTTCCTTCATTTGAAAAAACAGCAGCACTTGGTTTCATCCATTACTTCTACTTCAGTAGGGGCTGTGATGGGTGCATTTGAACGTCCTGCGGTGGGGGTCATCTGTGTTCAACTCTCCATTTGTAGAACTTACAACCTTGTTTTTGGATTGTTGCATCTTATCTCTGTGTTGATGTGCTTCCCTGTTTGATGACAGAGTAGGATCTTGCTGAACCGCACCCACTGGAGTAGGCAACTGTTCACCAATCCAGTCATATTCATAATCAAACATATATCCTTTTCAATCAAACAAGTCAATAAAAAGCTCTTGTAAGCAGTCGCAGTCTGGTTTTTTTGTTTTTTTTTTTTTGTTGTTTTTTTTTTAAATCTAACCTTCTTACATAACGAAGATACGTTGCCATTTCTGGAAAATTTTCACCTAACACTTCTATTGGTGTAGCCCATTTTGTATCTCCAGTTTTCTGATACCTCTCTTTTAATGTGTCAGCCTTTAAGCCTTGCCAAGGAAGACTGCCTCTCAGAAAATACATGAACATGTGACCTAAAGCTTCTAAATCTTCTCTTCTACTTTGTCCTTTTCCTAAATGTGTGTTTACGCTTGTATATCTATCTGTTCCCATAGGGACCCTATGTTCACTGTATGGTATGTGTTTCTTTGTCTCTGGATCAATATATTTCTTTGCCAAACCAAAATCTATAATATGAATAACTTGCTGGGCTTTGTTTCCTGGTCGTCCTATTAAGAAGTTCTCAGGTTTTAATCTCTGTATATCAAGTTCTTTGAAGGGACATATTCCATGAGAGAAATCAGTTGTAGAGGTATCACGAGAAGTATTTTAAAAGAAAATGTGCTGTCACACAAGTCAAACAAATATTCCAAACTAGGTCCCAGCAGTTCCAGCACCATAGCATTGTATTTACCACAAGGCCAGAAATAGTAAACTTGAGGTATACAATCTCCAGGTCCTAACCGCTTATAGAATCTGTTTTCCAAATGTAGCTGTGGTGCTTTGATTTCATGGGCTCCAGCTTCATTGCCGCATATTTATTTGCGTATAATTTTTTCCCTCAGAGGCGCGGCCAGGAGCAGCGGGGTCGGTACCCGGCGCGGGCTGAGCCCCTAGCCTGTCCGTAAGCTCCCGAGGGGGCAGTGGCGGCCGCACATCTCACCCGCGGGCGGCGGACGAGGAAAGAGAACCACGCAGGGAGCTGGCGAGCGAGGTAGAGGGGAACGAGCGAGAGAGGGAGGTAACGCAGCGCGGCTCGGATTCAGTCCGTACACTGCCGCCGGTGCTTCCTACCGCTGCCGCTGGCCCGAAGAGTCGCCGCCGGAGTCGCTGCGGTCGCCACAGATGCAGCCGGGAATGAATGCAAAGGGCGCCTCGCTTATCCGGAGGTCAAGCATGCCATTGCCTCGGGCATCTGGATCGACGCCGGACCCGGAAGTGAACACAAGGAAAAAAAATTTAAAAGGCACTACGGCGCCGGGCGAGGTGGCTCACACCTGTAATCCCAGCACTTTGGGAGGCCGAGGAGGGCGGATCATGAGGTCAGGAGATCGAGACCATCCTGGCTAACACGGTGAAACCCCATCTCCACGGAAAATACAAAAAATTAGCCTGGCGTGGTGGTGGGCACCTGTAGTCCCAGCTACTCAGGAGGCTGAGGCAGGAGAATGGCGTAAACCCAGGAGGCAGAGGTTGCAGTGAGCCGAGATCACACCACTGCACTCCAGCCTGGGCGAGAGAGCGAGACTCCGTCTCAAAAAAAAAAAAAGAAAGAAAGAAAGAAAGAAAGAAAAGCCACTAGGATCAATTTCTTTTAAACGTGACGACACCTAGAATTTGTGAATTATGTGCGAACTTACATGAAGAATTAGTATTATTTGGGGTTTGGCTAGTTCTCAAATAATTCTGTACTTTATTCTAAACCTTCCTGGGCCATAGTGACTCAGAGACAGGGAGGAGAGGGATGGGCAGTGCAGAGGGGAAGCTGGTGGTGGTGACCCTGGGGGACTGGCAGCCCTCGGTCAGGCGGACGGTCAGGGCACAGGCTGGGCACAGAGCAAGACATCCAGGGCTTATCGAAGGCTACTGGCCAGAGCTTGCTTCGCTCGCTGCTTTTTAAACGACTGTAATAGAAACAGGTTGCCTTAAGCCAGGCTGGGAGGGGGTTTCATTACACCTGCCTTGTAGGGATTCTGGGATCCGTTATGAGGAAACACTACAATGTGTACACTATACTACAGTCACATGGAAAGATGTTCAGATACACTCTATAAATATATACATATGAAAGGGAGTGAGTCCTTTTTGCTTTGCATGTGTGCAGTAGATGCTTAAACGGAAAGTTCAGGGGAGGCAGCCAGAGATAACGACGCCACGTTTCAGGAGGTGTCAAGGGAGGAGGGCCAAGTACAATCTATTAGAAGCTGAGGACCGGGTTCTCGACTTGACCATCTGAAAGCACAGAGGGTGTTACCGCGCAGGTGCACAGCTGTGCCGAACGAAATTGTTCTGTAACAGAGACTGGCGCCCCTGCCGAGAGCGGAGCCGTCTCCAAGTGCTGGATCACAGCCCCGTGACGTCAGGTGTGTCACGCGCTTGCTGGTTGATGAGGCCCACAAAGGGGAGATTGGAGATGGCCGCGGAGCAGCTCTGCTTTAGGATACACTTATAAGGGAGATTTTGGCAGAACTGGGCGGGCGGTTGTCATGGGAACCCCCACATCCACTGTGCTTCTGACTTTCCTCAACATTAGCGTCTCCTTTCCTGTCAAATATCCCGAGAGGGCTTTGCGATTAATTGTGTTTTTCTTCTGGGGCAACCACCTGCAAAATCTCCCTGGAGGGACTGGGGAAAACGCTTCGCAGGGCTCCTCAAAGCTCACTCTCATTAAGGGAGGGAAGGCTGAGAGGTGGGCCTCAGAAAGAACTTTTTGGGAGCCAGGATCCATCCCGAGGGGAGGGAGACGGGTGCGGCTGGTCTACTTCATCTGAAGTAAAGGCGTTAAGGAGCTTGCTTGAAGAGTTTAACTGGGACCCGCGCAGCTTGAGGGACATAGGACTGGCCTCAGATCCAAGCTTGGACAAGCCAGAGAATGAACAACAAGCTATTCATGGCGGCCAGCTCTCACGTTGGAGCCCAAGTGGATCATGGGAAAGAAGAACCAAAATGTTCACATCAAGGAGAGGCCAGGTAAGAGAGTGAGGTGGCCCGAGGTAGTGGCACCTCCTGTGGAAAGGGACGATCTGAGGGGCTGGAGGTGAGGCTGGCTGCCCAGGGGCTGAGGGAGTAAGCAACCAAGCCGATCAGAGCGCCTGCTCCCTCCCCAGTGTCTGCACCCAAAGGTCGCAGTGCAGCACCTGGAGGGCAAGGGTGGTGGGATGACGGTGAGGGAGAATCTCCACAGAAGTCAGAACACCTGTCTGAGAAAGAGGCCACCTCCACCTCTGCCAGGGCCAGACCACACCGCAGACCCCACCAAGTGAAACCGTGCCTACCGCTGTTCCCTCCTCCCTTTCCCGTTTCCACACTGGGAGGGTTAGAATTGCTTTGACAAGAAGACCTGAAGAAGACTGATGCAGCCTACCACGCCGGCCCTTGGCTGCAGCAGGCTGGAGCTGGGGTTGGGGACTGGCAGAAGAAGAGAAGGAGACTCAACGTTGGATCCAGTTTTTATCACCCAAGAATTACCAGACCACCTGCCCATCCTTTCATCCAGAACAGTAACTGATCCAAACAGTAAAGAGTTGGTGGGAAATTCACATGTGGCTGCTTCTGATGGCCCGTGTCATCAATGCATGGTATATATAGTCTGTTGGGAAAATGGGAAGGTAACTTTCCTTCTCCTCTCCCACCCCCTTAAATGCCAAGCAGAGCCCTCCTTCCAGCCCTGGGAGAAATCTCGGCTCTCTCCTCATGGCAGCAGTGTCCAAGAGAAAGATGACCTGAGCCACAGCGGCTGCCTACTTAAGTTTACGTGCTCTAGTGGCTCATTAGGAAAATAGAACAGGTAGAATAAACTTGAATAAGTATTTTATTTAACCCCAAGATATCTAAGACATTATCATTTAAACATATACATTAATAGAAGAATTTTTTAGATATGTTACATTCTTTCTTTCTGTGCCAATTCTTTGGCATTCAGTGTATATTTTACACTCATAGTACATCTCTATGTGAAATGAGATCAGCCTCATTTCGAGGGCTCAGTAGCCACACGTGGCTCTCAGGTATTAAGAAATGTTTTTGTTTTTCAGGTCTTAGAAAATCCAGTGCAGTCTGAAACCAAAGCTGCAATCTTCCAATCCAAACATCCCCCTCCCC